TCACACCCCACCCACGTGGGCCTGCAGCACCTCCGGTGCCCCAGCTCTTCCTCCTGCTCTGCGGCACCTTGTCCTGCCTCTCCTCTTGCTCCGAATGCTCTCCCTGGGCCTCCTCGCCCAGCCCCAGAGAGCCATCAGCCCTGTATGGCTGACCTCCTAGCCTATGTCCGGGGCGTTTCCTTCAGCCTTCAGCACACGTATCCCATGTGGACATGAGATGTTTATGTGAGCGAATGTGTGAATGCATGGGTGAAGGAAGCATCTGTTGAACTACCCAAGCCAAACTCCTACGTGCCCCCGGGTTGCCTCCAGCATTGCCCACCCACCAGCCTCTGAACAGGTAGCACCTAAAATTGTGTTCACTAGACTCACCCCGGGGGCCTGTTATGAATGCAGATTCTGGGTCCCACTCATGCCAAGACTGCGAGTCGGCAGCGAGGGGTCCAGAAGGTGCTCTCTCGTTTTGCTTTTGGAACATGCATTCTACAAGCTCCTGGGCCGCTCTGATCAGGTGCTCAGGAGACCACATGTTGGCAAACGCTATACTGAACTGGGGTCTTTCCAAGACACAAAACTGATGGTGTCTTCCCTGCTTCCGTGGCTCCCCGCACCTGCAAGATATGATGTGATGGTGGCGGTGCCCGGCCTGTGTCCACTTTCACAGCTACACACAGGTCACGGGCCTCAGCTTCTCTTGCTCTGCCTTTGCATTCCCATCTCCATCAGCCAGGAATACCCATGCCAGCTTCCTCCTTGGCCAACTCCTACTCATCTCTCAAGGATGAAGCTCAGATGAACCCCTTCTGAGAGTCATCTCTGACCTCCAAGGTCAGTTTCTTGTCCTCTACCCTTCTATGTCACCCTACCATAAATTCTCCATTTCATTTTATTTAACGAACACGCATACAGTGATTACTGTGTCAGGCACTATTCTAAGTGTTGTATAAACATCAGTTTACTTAATCCTTTGCCGACCTTATGAAATAGGAACTCTCATTACCCCCATTTTATAGATGAGGAAACTGAGGCACAGAGAAGGGAAATAATGTGCCACACAGCTGGCAAGTGGAGGACAGGGATTCGATCGAGGCAGTCTGGCGCCAGAGTCCATGTTCTTTTTCATGCTGCCGCCTCTGACGGGTCCTAGCACATTGCACACTGTGTCCTAGGCACCTGCTCCTGACTCTCCACTAGACAGAGAGCTTCTGCAGCCGGGGAGAGATTAACCTCCCAGCCCAGGGCCTCGCAAACTGCAAACTCAGGGAAGCTCCGCTGAAGGACAGAGCTGTGCATGCTCATGACGCTGCACAGACAAGGAACACACAAGTCGCAAAACCTAACTCTGAAGTGGCTTCAAATGGGATCAGGTGCAATGAGCTGCCTAACAGTCTACTCTTCAGAGAGTGGCGTTCCAGAGGTGGCATACCACCCCCTCCACCTCCACGGACGCTTGACTGAAATGTGTCTCCATCACCACGCAGAACAGGCCCGACTCCTCCTGCAGAAAGGGCTCTTCCCTATTGTACACAACCCTGGCTTTACTTCTGCAGGGCAATTACCTGGGGATCGGATTCTCCCTTGGAACCTACTCTGGTCAACTGGGCTGAGGAAGGTGACCCCAGATATAGGTGCCACGTGCCAATTTAGATTAACTCCTACCACAGCCAATGAACTCAGATAAAAAACAAGTAAGAGTATGATGTATTTCACGCATGCACGCACGCACACACACATGCACGCACGCACACTCACTCAGCTAGAGTAACACGAGTCGCTGCAGCCTCTGAAGCAGCAGGAGCCCTGGTTTCTGAGGGCGCTGGGACTCTGTGCTGCTGAAAAGGTTTATGCTGATTAGGCTTCCGGAGCCAAGGGGGTTCCCCAAGCTCTCTGTTCTCACACCAACACTGCAAAGCAACAACCATGATAACCACGACCATGACCAACTCCATTTTACAGGAGAAACAGAGGCTCCAGGAGGTCAAGCTTATCCAAGGGCACACACTGCTAAGAGGCTCACAAACCCAGGGCGCTGACTCCAGAGCCTGCCTGCTCCTGTGCCGCTGCCATTGGGGGAATGCGGGTTGGAACAGTGACATGAGCATGAAACGAGCGCCCAGGAAAGGCTGCGTGAAGCAGGAAAATGGACGATTACACAGGAGCAGAAAAAGGAAAAACGACGAATCGTTCACGAGTCCTCACAGCCCGACGGCCTTTCCCTGTTGTGCTCAAGGAGTCCCTCAATCTGCGGTGTTACTTTCCCCCCTTGTGCTCATTTTAACCGGAATAATAAAGATATTCATGCCTAGTTGCTCCCTTCTACAAGTTAAAAATCAGGAACTTCAGAATGTCTCTATTTCAAAACTCAAAAACATCAAGGACTTGAAAATACAAACGGAATGATTTTCATTAAAGGCTATTAGCATATAGCAAGATAGTAGTACCACTTAAAATAAACCTATTTTCAGAAACTATGAACTGCATCTTAACCTTTTTTATCCTTTCTCTACCATCTCTACTCCTGACATTTAGAGAAATGCCTAACACACATAAGCACTCAATAAATATATGTGAGTTCACAGACACACTTTCTGTATCAAGGGAGAGAAAAATGCTTATTTGAAAAACCTGATTTTTAAAACTGTAACCTGTGTCATAACTTTCTCATGTTCAAAACATCAGAAAAAGAAAATTACCAACAGGACAAAAGAAAATACACAATCAGTTGCAGAAGTAAAACTGTACTGTTTACTTAAAGCATGAGAAAACCAAGTTATATCTGATTGCCTCAACCATATTCCTTAAAATAATTGTGTTAATTTGATATTCAAAAATTAGTCAAAAGAAACGGTGAAGAAAAAGTCCCTGTATTTCAGGGTAGGAATAAAAACGTAAGTGGTACTCAAGCATCTATCTTCGTATCATAAATTAGTGAAGTTTCAAACACCATAAAAATTAGCAACCAACCAAGCAATTAAATAAAGCAATTACACTCCATTGCCACAGACGTGGGTAAATGCCAAAATTACATGTTACCTAGAAGCAGAAGAGCAGTCAGAGCAGCCATATCTCAACAGCTTTCCGAACGGCAACGCATCCAAGAAGGAGAGAGCTCAGACCCACGCAGGCCAATTTGCCCTGAAAAATTTTCCTTTCAGAAAGTATGGCTGAAAATTGGCTCTCCTCAAACAGAAGGGACTTTCACAAGAGTTATATAAGCAAAACACACAGGCCAATTCAGTGACGTGGGCACCACCTCATGCAAAAGCAACGCAGCCAACACAAGTAACCCCCATTCACGTCCCAGATCCCGGCAGCTTTTCAGAATAAAAATCCAGGCCGATTGGAACCTCCCACCCCTGCAACCCAAGGATGGAAAATTTTTAATGAAAAGTTACACACAATTAAACAACCGAGAGTCCTAGCACACTTTTTGGAAAGGATTCCTACTTTATGGTTCATTAACCATCTGGAATATCTTTAAATTTCCTCCATGCGCCTAATCTTGAAGGCTTTTCCTATTCTGGACGGATAAATGAGTCCCTTAAATTCTTTCTACGGTTAGAGATAGGCTGTCATATGCACCCGATGGGTGCATGGAGCCGGTCACAAACTGGAGGTGAATCAGGGAAACTTGCTCAAAGCCTCCTCTCTTCAAACCACTTTTTCCAAATGCCAATCTTTCCCACGTTGGTGGAACACCCCACTCTTCAAGCCACCTGCTCGTTTTCCATCATTCAAACTGCGGCAGAAACGCCACCTCCTCACAGAGCCATCCTCGGCGGTGATGGGTGCCAACCACTTGTCTCCCGCCCATGAGGGTGAGGAAGAAAATGGAGGGAAGGCAGGCGACAGCAGGAACACCATTCCCAGCATGGCGCAGACGGGAGAGGGAAGCAGGGTCAGCCTGCTTTTCAGAGCAGACGGAGATTCATTCATTCACCTAACAAACAGCACGAAACACCTACTGTGTGGTGGGCAGTGCAGTTCCTCGGGTACCGAGGGAAGCAAGATATGGACCCCTCGCTCAGAGAGCAGACAGTCGCATAGGAGGAAAAGATACAAGAACTGAAAATGATGACAGTGCACGGTTAGTGCAAGAAGGACACAGAGTCAGGACAATGTCATCAAAGAAGCACCAGACTTGGCTTGGGGCCCTGGAAGGTTCCTGGAGGCGAAAAGGGCTGAGTGAAGGGGGAGGTGGGGAAGGTAGGGAGGTGAGGAGAAGAGCACTCCAGACAGAGGGGCCGGCGGGATCCAGACACAGAACAGGCTCGACATGGAGAGAATGCCAAGCAACTGGGCAAGGCTGTGTCATCAAGTCCAAGGTGAGAGAGGCCACAGGATGGCAAAGGGCCTCCGACACCATGGGCCATCGGTGAAAGGTTACAACCAAGGGTTGTAGGGCCGGATCTGTGTTTGAGGACGGTGCATGGATCTGGGCTCAGCCTGTCCCAGTGAAGGGCAAAGTGCCGGGCAGGGAGGTCTGGGGCCTGGCTTCACCGGCCGAGCTCTCGCCTCGCCACACGCAATTTCCCTGCTGCCCAGGGGGCTGAGTTTCATACCTAATGCCCCCACCCTCCCCAACAACTCCCACCCACTGCCCACTCAACATAAAATAGACACCAACCCGCCAAGAACCAGCCAGAAGGTCAAATACCTCAGCTCCGAGTGGCTTGGCTCAGAGAAAACCAGCTGGGCCACTCAGTGTCTCTGGGAAGCTAAGAATCCGGGAATAACCAGGCCGTTTAGGAATCTGCGCAGAAGCCAAAAATGGGCCACAAGGCCTAGTGAGCGCTCTTGTCCCTCGGCCAAGAAAGATGCCGGAACAATTCAGGGGTTTAGGATTCCTGCTCCCAGCCATCCACCATTAGCACCAGTAATAAAAAGACTCGGTTGTTTTCAACCCCACTGTCCACTTCGACGACAGGGGCTTTGGGCCCACTTGCTCGCCTGGAGGGCCCTGTGTTTCAGAGTGAGGGTCCCCCCTCCCGGATACTCACAGAATTGCAGGCTGAGGCTCAGGAGGGCCAGCAGCGCAGCGAGCGCCAGCAGCAGCAAGAAGCGATTGCGGAAAAGCATTATTATTTGTTCTGTCTCCTCCTCATGGTTTCACCTCAAATCGGGAACATGCCCTGTGAACAAAGAAGAGGCGATAAGCACGTGTTCCGAGCTGGAGTTCGGCAACTGATGAAAATAACCCAATTAGCCCAGGCCTCCGGCAGGCAGACGTGAGTCCTAGCGGGAGAACAATGGGGAGCTTCGGTTCCGTCTCTGCCCCCAAAGGAGGCCGCCAAGAATGGGTCTGCCAGATTAATAAGAGGAAACCAGTTCGTGAATGGCTCGTTTATCTGATATCAACTGGGAATGAGATACTTTACAGCGTGACCTTTCCAAAGAAGGTAAAGGAAGTTTATTGAGCACTTACTAGTACAGTGTGCCAGACAGTATTTCCGGGACCAGCTCACGCTCACCCCATTCTGACTCCCAACTACTGTCTGTCTGTCTGTCTCTCTCTCTCTCTCAACTACCCTAGCTTCCAGTCTTATGTTCTTTTTTAAAATATATTTTTATTGATTTCAGAGAGGAAGGGAGAGGGAGAGATAGATACATCAATGATGAGAGAGAATTATTGATTGGCTGCCTCCCGCACACCCCTATAGGGGATTGAGCCCACAACTCAGGCATATACCCTTGACTGGAATCGAACCCGGGACCCTTCAGTTCCCAGGCTAACGCTCCATCCACTGAGCCAAACCAGCTAGGACTGCCTCTTTTTTTTTTTGATGAATGTTTTGCTAAGATGACTCTGGTCTTCTTTATTTTTAACATTAACCTGAACACCAATCACTGAGATGTATGCCACAGTGTGAATTTTGGGGCAGGTGGGGTGTACCTGAGGACTTGTTTCTATAAGCAGCCTTTTCTGCTAATTAGAGACCTTCCCCCACACTTGACCATTGAGCTATTTCAGCTGCATCTACAGGTCTTCCTGCAGCCCCACCCACCTCAGAGCTGTGCACAAGGGCTCTAAAAAAATGTTGCAGAAGGCCCTACATGACCCTGCTGTGAAAGAAAGAAAAAGTGAATGTTCCCTATAGGTTTTTGCCCATCACTCTTAGAGACCAAGTTTATTTCCTGGTCTCATTTGCATTTGAAGTAGAACTTGAAAATCACACTTTTCAGAAAAGGGTCTTCAACTAGAATAAAATTAAAAGTCATTTCCAGTTGGATTTTATCAGCAGAATCTTTTCCACCTTCAAACACAACCTCTTTCAGAGCCCAGATAGACACGATCAGATAACAGCTCACCTGCTGACGTGGTGAGTGTGGCCCCACTTTGTGAATATACGAAAAACCACTAAACTGCACACTAAGTGACTTGTACGCTATGTGGATTCTAGCTCAGTAAAATTTTTTAATTTAATTTTGTTTTGTTTTTAAAGCCTATTTGCAGGGCATGAAGAAGCAGCCAGAGCCCTGGAATCCCCTGTTCCCCATCCCCAACCCCACCAGGGCCCTGCAAAGGAGCCTGAGAACCACTTCTGTCAGGTTTATGTCAGAGAACATCTGCTAAAAGATTGACGTAAATACACATGTACCTAACAACGGGGTCTGGACATCTGGCAACCAGCATTTCTGTTAACAAACAGATCCCAGCTTCACACCTTCAAAGGAACACTGCTGCTGGCCCCTTAGTTACTGCCCCCCACTAAGGGCCAGAGCCTCGTGTCCCAAGACGTCTGCACCTCTTCCTGGGACACCCCCCTCCTTGCCCGGCGGTGTCTCTTGCTTCGGCACCTCAGAGAGCAGACCTGCCTCTTGATGGCTCTGCACTTGGGCGTGGGAGGTCAGGCCTTCCCTCTGGTGCTGGGCCACGTCTGGCCCTCAACCACTTCCTGCCTCCAGTCTCTCGGGGGATTTTCCCATCACACTTACTGGCAGCTGCGGCTACCAGAACGCCGAAGCCTGCGCCCTTTGGGTTTAGCAGACACGGCCTTTGCATATGAGGATGAACCGCAAGATGGTCAGAGTTGTCTTCACGTGGGCATTAGGTGGAAACAGTGCTACTTGCTGAGGAACATCCCAGGCTGACAGCACGGTGGATTCATTGCCGTGATGACCCCCAATTTGTTCGTGCCTTTCTGGATCAATGGCCTTGTGTCGTCTCCTCCCACGTGGACGCTAAGCCTTGGCCAATGGGACAACAGCTAGTGACTAGCAAGCAGAGGCTTGGAAAGTCCTAATGTATTGGGGCTTGTCCTCCCTTGCTGCTTTTGGAACTCTAAGACCACCATGTGACGATACCGGACTAGCAGCTGGCGGATGACAGGCCAGGTGCAGGCAGGGCTGCAAACAACCAGCCTGCCAATCACCACACACGGGAGCAAGGCCATCCCCGATCATCCAGCCCAGCCACGCCACCAGCAGATGGTTATCAGGAGGGTCAGCCCAGACTAAAAGAACCATGTGGCCAACCCACTCAGCACAAGCAAATAGAATGGTTGCCGTTTTAAGCCACTACATTCTGGGAGCTTGATATAAAACAAAGAAACTGATACAATAAAGAGGAAATGCCTAGCGCCTTTACTAGGAATTTCTTCTTTTTCTTTTTTTAAAATTGATTTCAGAGAGGAAGGGAGAGGGAGAGAGAGAGAAACATCAATGATGAGAGAGAATCATTAATTGGCTGCCTTCTGCACACCCCCTACTGGGGATCGAGCCTGCAACCCAGGCATGTGCCCTTGACTGGAATCAAACCCAGGACCCTTCAGTCCACAGGCCGACGCTCTATCCACTGAGCCAAACCAGTTAGGGCACTAGGAATTTCTAAGCCAGGGTCTAGTCCCCACATCCTCATCTGCAGGCGTCATTTGCAAAGCTCCATCTTGTCTGCATTCTTCAAGACGCGGAGCGCTCTTTGGGAAAAAAGGGCTATATTTAGTTCTAGACTTAAAATACTGAGGACGTGCTGGGTTAACCAGATGGCTGGGATCACGTGACTGCCTCACTGCTTTTAGTTTTCAGGCTGACATCTCTGCGTAGCTGATGCTGTGCACTTCATGACACAGGCCTCGATCTGGGAGGACCGCCCCTCCCCTCGACACCGTCTGGGTTTCTGTGCCCCACTCCCCTTCCGGCTCTCCCTTGGCAACTGCCAAATGCCAGGTAATGGTCAGAGTCTCGCTGCCTCCGCTTGTGCGAGGGACCAGCATGGTGTGATAAACACAGCCCTGGGAGTGATGAACACATGCTTTACTCTGGAGCCTAGTGCCTGAGGTAACTAGGAGAGGAAGGCCATGCTTTGTTCTTAATTTTTAAAAAAATGACCATAATGATGACATAATCCAAAATTCACAGGGACTGGAAGATATTTGTGTTTGCAGCTGGAACTAGGACGCCATCCAGTGTGAGTGTGTGTGTGTGTGTGTGTGTGTGTGTGCACCCTGCCCTTGTTCACGCCCAACATGGAAACCGGGGACGCGGTTCTGCCCTGGGGTGTGTCTTCACCGTCCAGAATAGGAAAAGGCAGGCAATTCCCTGGTGAAAGAGACTGACATAGCAGAAAGGGGACTGGCAGATCTGTGACCATTCCCGGCTCAGCCACTGGGTTTCTGGGTGCCCTCCTCACAGTGGACTGACTTCACTTCTCAGGCTCTAGGATCCGTTCTTTAAAAAAGTAGAGGGTTAGGCCATAAAGAAGCAGGAGGGTGGTGAGGAGCAGCTGTCGTCACTCGCAGACCCGTGGCACGGAGTCGCTGTGCTGTGTTGGACTCCCCAGCGCTGGAGGAATCACAGGGACCCAGGGACTCGGTACCATCATCAACACACCAAGATCTGCCCTTTCCCCTGAGCCGCGGCTTCTGTCCCAGGCGGTTCCTCTTCCAAACCCTGGCCACTGGCCACTTCCCTACTCCCCGGCCCAGCCCCAACGGTCAGGGCAGGCAGCCACGTTTGCAGCCGGTTCCTGGCAAGCCTTCCCCGGGGCTGACTCAGCTGTGGTGCCCTGACACTGCCACAGGTCCTCCTGCCTGGAACATCCATGTCAACTTCTGTTGGGCCCCATCCTAAGAAGGAGATATTACCAATTAAAACCCTAACTCCTGTAAATGGTGTGCAGAATTGAGGGCTTTAAATATGACCATAACTGCTTGGAAGAAAAATGTACATTCAATTATCTCTCATTTGTGTCGTTAAAATGCCATTACCAAGATAGAAAGGTGGTACTAAAGAAAATGCTCTGGATGTATTATGTACTTTTATTTTACATTTTTTCTCTCCGTCTCTGGCCCAAGCTCTGGCCCCACTCTCCATAGTCCCCTCTCTCTTTTTCCATCCCTAGCGAGGAGGCTCGTGCAGCCATGCAGGAAGCCACACAATCTGTGGGCCCTTCTGGCCGTACTCCTTCCACGGGGGTCTGCCTGCACACCCCTGGGACACTCGATCAGACCTGTCCAGTCATGCAAAGTGACGGCCACATCTCTGGGACCACAGCCTGCTCACGCGCAGCCCACAGAATAAAGTCTCTGGGAAGATGCACTGCCCCCTCAGCAGGCAGACACTGGGATTGCCACCTACCGCAGCATGGCTCCCTCATCTCCTAACCCCAACACCTCTCAAGCCCCAGGGCCTTGCATGCAAAAGGTGCTCTAGACCCAATATGGCATCACCACCAAACCCTATTCCTATAAATACTTCTGTGGAAACAACTGTTTTGTGTCCAAGGCTGAACATACCACAGTGGCCAGTCATCAGGTGTGGACTGGGCACAGCCTTAGTCTGATGTGCTACACCCACGCAGTAAAAATATCTTAAATCCAGAAATAAAATTGTTACTCCGAATTCCCGATGAAACAACAAATAATAAAACAGGCAACTGCAAAGCAACTTTACAACAGATTTGAACAGTAAAAGGAAATCTTTTAGAATATAACTTTGGGGGGAAAAAGTACTAGTTAATAGGCATTCCCCCATTATATGATGGTAAATAGAACTTCTGGATTAAGAGGAAAAAGGAACACCTTAACGGCATTGTTCAAGCTACCATTCTGCCACCAGAGGTTTCCACAGCCCACGCCCTGGCCTGGTTCTCACCATGTAAGAGCTAGAAGTGCCGCGCCCAGTGACTCTGGTC